AAGAATGCTTTTGGTCGGAAAGGCTTACCGATGGAACTCAGAGACGATTCCTCGAGTTTCGCCAGGCTGCTGTTGTGAATGGTGAGATGGCGGATGTCGAGGCCGAGGAACACGTACGGCTGCAGCTTTGGCAGGCTGTTATGCCTGAGCCTGAGATAAAAGATGACGGTGTTGGTCTTGCCTTTGAGCGAGCGCATCACACCGTCGATGTGAGATAGGTCCGTGTACTCGCATACGATGTCCAGGCCGGATTTCTTCAGAGTGCAGGAACAGGGCGAGATCTCACTGTGCGAGGGGCAGTTCACCGATGATTGCGCCACGGTCAGGCTCGTTACTAGGCTCGCTGTCCAAACCAGTGTCCATAAGCTGCTCTCCTTCATCTTTTTTGCTCGACTAGAACGCCGACTTTACACCCTTTTTATCGAAATGTTCCTTGATGACTCTCGGTCGGCGCCACCTTCTCCTTTCTTCTCTCTTTCTCTCTCTTTTGTTCTCTCTTCTAGTTTCGTTCTCAAAGGACTCTGCTGCTTTTTTAGTAGCCTTGTCTCTTCACTCACCCCCTTCACTGTTCCACTCTCTCTCTCTCTCTCTCTCTCTCTCTCTGTTTCTCGCTCGATCGGTTCCTCCGGCTTCGCCCTCTCTGTTCCTGTACCTGCAACCTGCTACTTAGCCTCTGCTCTTCTCATATCCATTGTTCGCTCTTCCGCGGTGCACCGGTACACCGAGTCTGCAAGCAGAGAGAATAACAGGATGGTTACGATCTCTCGTGAAAGTATCGCGGCAGGATACTCGCTCCTGAGCAAACAATCGGAATTGAAACGTGCAGCTGCTGCCCGCTGGGACAGAAGTTAGAAGACGATCGATTCGACGACGATGTTTCGCAGGAACATGAATTTTCAAACAGTTCGCGAGTCACTCTCGAAAGAGAGAGTTCTAAAGAAAGAACACGAGGATTTCAAATTATTCAGATACGTCACGTATCCAGCCAATGTTACAACGCTGTGATGGGGGGGAAAAAAAGAGTGCTTAGTTAATTCATTCATCACGCATAAAATACACGTGTGTACGATGCTATAATAACTTGTTTAATAATAGTTGCGACATTCATCGATTTAGCAAATGCTATAGTATTAATTTAAATATTTAAATGTTACAAGATCAGCGAATGCAAAAGTAATTTATCATCGTATAAATAACTATATATATCATGATAGTTGTAAATCTCTAGTTGTTGAATAATTTAACTACTAGTTTAATAATAGTGATTTAATTTCATTAATTACTTCAACTACTGTTTTTAGTCAATGTTAACAAGATTAACTTGGACGAAGTGTTTATAATTTATTATCAAATAATTTAACTATTTTAGTTTAATTTCGTTAGCAATATTAATTTAGTAGTAATTTAATTACCTATTGATTTAATAATATATAATTATAATTATATTAATATATTAATATATTATATATAAAGTATATTATTATATATGTGTCGTAGCTATCAGATATTTGTTAATATATTTTGCATCATATTTACATCACATTTTCATATGCATAACATGAACATTCACAGTCGAATCATAAGCCTAACTAAGATGATTCATGTCTGTTTTTTTAATTACAGTCGATCCGATAGCTAAAAGATTTTTATACAAATAATTCCATTAATCTTTGTGGAATTTTGGAATTTTGGGATTTTCAACAGATTAATCTAGCGATTTACAATCTTTTTCATTTTGTTCATTTTTATCGAGTTATGTTGATAGTCACTCTCTTATAGAATATCAAAGAAATTTAGAACTTTCAACTTGTTAGTGTGTATTGTTAGCGAAACGTGCACTCGAGCTGTCGTTTAGCGAAAAGCGAATGAAAACGGCTCTCCAATTAAATATGACCGTCCTTTGTAATTATGTGTAGCTGTAATTAACTTGTCAAGAAATTCCATTAATTACATAACGACAAATAATGATCTCATCTCGTTCGGAAATGTCGCAGTGTTCGAAAAACCTCGTTGGGAAATATCGCAGTGTTGGAAAAACCGTGCAAAACAAGCTGAATTTAAATTGTTGAAAACAACATTGTATCACATTATTATAATTATTATTGTAATTATTTTCATTCTGTTCATTTTGATCGTGTTATATTAATACTTACTCTCTTATAGAAATTTTAAAGAAACAACACACTTATTTGTTGTTAGTGAAACGCGCACTCGAGCTGTCGTTTAGCGAATGAAATGCTCTCGGCTCTCCAATTGAATACGATTGTCATCGTTTATTTATAATTATGTGACAAACGATGATCTGGTCTCGTTGGGAAATATCGCAGTGTTGGAAAAACCGTGCAAAACAAGCTGAATTTAAATTGTTGAAAACAACATTGTATCACATTATTATTTTCATTTTGTTCATTTTCATCGTGTTATATTAATACTTACTCTCTTATAGAAATTTTGTAATTATTTTCATTTTGTAATTATTGTAATTATTTTCATCCTGTTCATTTTCATCGTGTTATATCAATACTTAATCTCCTATAGAAATTTTGTAATTATTTTCATTTTGTAATTATTGC